CCTCATGAAGCCACGTCCCATGGGTTTACCCCCTTGAAAGGGGTCTCACCTCGTTTTGATAAAAATAGGTCCGTTCCCCATCAAACTCGAATGGCAGAATTGGGTTTACCCCCCATGCTTGAAAAACTGAAATTTTTGGATATTGGTATTCAGGGTTTTGCGCTTGACCTTGGCGGATCACTGGTGTCACACACAGGGGGGGGTAAACCTCATGAAGCCGCATCCCAAGGGTTTACCCCCCTGAAAGGGATCTGACCTCGATTTGATGAAAATTGGTCCGTTCCCTATCAAACTCGAACAGCAGAATTGGGTTTACCCCCCATGCTTGAAAAACTGAATTTTTGGGTTTGTCTAGCTCCAGAGAGCCATTTGAGAGGCAACTGAAGGGTTTAGGCACCCTAAACCTTTGCGTAGGGCGTCTGTCCGGGAGGCAGCTAAAGGGTTTAGGCCCCCCTAAACCTTTGCAAGCTCGGAGGTGAACCTGCGCTCATTTGTTTGGATTCGGACCCAGACACAGACATGAGTTTGAGCAGAAATTGGGAGGTACTTGGGTGCATGAGTCGAAAGCCAATTGCCCACTATGTTGTGCATCTGTATGAGGTGGGCAACAATACACTTGCCGTTGCCGTTGAGAAAGGAGAACCTAAACTGAGCACAATGCACCAAGTTCTCAAAACCCTTGTGCGCTCGCATGCTGCTCTTCGGAGTGACGAACCAGGCAATTCCTTTGGTCTGCAGGCGTCGCTTTTCGCAGAACTCATTTGCCTTTACGACAATGGTTTGCGTATCGACTTGCCGGACGAGGATTCCAAGCCAACTTTTTTCTTCAACATTGGTCGGGAGTGGGAAGCCGTTGTGAGTAAGAGGCCTACCAAAATGGGCGGATCTGGTCGTCTTGGGTTTGGCCTTGACGAATTTCTTTGCAACAAGACTGGGAAGAAGAAGTCCTCTACGAAGCGCAAGGCGCCAATCGCTGAGGGCAAAGCCATGCCTGTGACTCAGCGCCCAGAGCACCTTGGAGGTTTTGATAGCAGCAGCGAAGAAGCCAGTGACAGGGCCTGGAATGGTGATGACACTGCTCGCGGAAATGTCACTGGAGAAGCGGAAGAATGGGCTTCGGGGGACATAGACAACGTTCATGATATAGTGTTTTTTGGTTGCCTCATAATATATATATATATATTTTTTTTTCAATCTTTGTCATTTCGTTGGTTTACTTTCGACTAAGTGACCAACCTCCAAAATCTTTGTGCCCAGGCCGAGCTCTGGCTCTACTCAGCGTGCTTCTGTGTCTGAAGATCCTTGCCCCATTGAGCTCAACAGTCGTGCGCAGGCGGAGCTTGCAGCTGCCGTGCATGAGGAGCGGGAGCGATTGAGGGCGGAGGCTGGTAAGGAGGGGAAGGCCGCGCCAGCTGCCAAGCCCACGGGCAAGAGTCGCTTTCACACACACTTGGGTATTCTAGGCATTTCCACGTGCAAGAGAGCTGGCGTGAAGTGCTTGCATTGCCAGTGCTCGATTGCCAGTGCTCGATTCAGAAGGGGGATGTCAAGTTTGCAGTGGCGTACAGCCTTTCAAAGCCTGAAAGGTCAATACATACCTCCTGTCTTGTACAATTCAGTCCCGCAAGCATTCAGAATTCAATGCCAGTGCTCGAAAGCGCACTCACTAGCTTGACGGATCCTGACCAAAGAGATGCAATTATGAACGCCATACGGACGTTCAAATCGATGTGAGTGTGGTACCTGCATGGTTGGAGCTGTTTGAGCCACAAGTTTCGTCCAACCGCGCACTTGCTTGCGAGAACTTAGTTTGCAAGTTAAGTACAGAGCTGCTTAGGGAAATTCACAAGTGGCTTTAGTGAAAAGGGTGCTTTTGGAGAAGCCGGCGGGTCTAGCGCGCAGGAGCGTCAGAAGCGTCCAACTAGTACTTTTGTTTTCTTGGACATGTTGAAACTTGTCCTTCTCTATCTCACCCAAAGATGCCCATTCCTCACCGATTGCTTTGTTGAGCAGCTTTGCCGAGTCGCTGCCAACCTTCCCTGAGCCATACTTTTGCTTGGACTGCGGCATTGAAACTCAAATTGAATGCTAGGACCTGCTAGGACTAGGACGGATAATTTAAAATTGTTGTTGAGGGTTCCTGAAACAACAAAACAACAAAATTTTCTTTTTCTGCAGAGGTCAATCCATGCCTGCAATAACGCTGGAAAGCGTTGAAGGCACTGACCCTCCGCAATTTCTTGGCATCACACCGAACGTGGCCTCCAGCCACAGACCTTGGATGTGTCTATCAGTCTCAGTCTCAGTCTATGACTAGGCTTTTGTCACTACTGCAAATCTTATTGTTATGGTCGTTGTCTTGCCAGGCCGCCAGGCCCCAAAGGTGATTTTGGAAGCTCTTTTTTTCAACTGTTTGACCGTCCCTGCGCTGTTCAATTCTGATGTCTTCCTGAGAGAAAGCTTTGAAGTTGGCGCCGTAGAGTCAACCATACGCCCTTTCATCCAACGGAGAACCTTGCTATGGTCAGCACCCCAGCACTGCTTCTCCAGATGCTCCGTGAACCTACGATGCTCCAAAAGGCACGGAAGAATGTAGCTATCCAGCTGCAAGGTCAAGGGCCGCTTGGTGTTGGCTTTGGTCACATTGGCATCCACCTAAAAGTTGGCATGCTGCTTCTCGACCTCCACGCTGCTGGCTGGGAGTTCGATCAAAGCATCCTTCAATGCTGCTGTGACTTCCGCAAACCGCTCTTTGCAAGAATGTGCTTGTCGATCTTTGAAAATATACCCAATCAAAGCCTCAGGCAGTCAACTACATTGGGATGCAATGGACCCGTGGCCAGCCAAAAATGGTGATTCCTATTGACTGTCAGACCTACGTCCCCCGCCCGAAGAAAAAATACAAACACGCTAAACACGCCAAACAGTCCAATGGCCCAACGGCAACTTTTCCGCACTGACTGGCAGTCACTGTAAATCTCTAGGAATGGACGGCTTGCTGGCCGGTACAACCCCCAAACAAGTTCATCGGACTACTATCTACTATCCTATCTATCATCTCTACCCGCTGCTTCCGAATCTTCCTGACAGACTTCAATATGACACCCGCCGGGCTCACTCAGTGAATCATTCCCCATCTCATCACTGATCACTGTCCATGGAGTCCATGGTGACAATAGTAGAAGTATCAGGAAGACGGAGACAAAAGAATCACGAATCGTTTCTGGTGGGTTGATTGTAAGGGTGTGGGCGGCCTGGTCCGCAACGTCGACGACGCTGAGGAAGGAACCAAATCAAACCTTCGAACTGGAAAGGTGGGGCATTGGGCCCAACCATCAGCTACAATCTGATGTCAGGGTGGCTCACCATCCCTGTTTCCAAATCGATTGGAGGTCGAAAATAGCGGCCAGGGTCTGAATCAGAAGAGGTTTCAGACCAGCTGCTGCCTGACTCAGACCCATCGATCAAATCATCATGACCGTCACTTGCGCACTCAACGGGCGACTGCAAGTCACCGGAACCAACTCCTGGGACACCAATAGCAGCAGAGTCACTTGGGTGTGGCAAATCGAAGTCACGAGAAGAATCAATTGCTTGGTCATCCGCGCCACTTGGCGGCTCAAAGTCACTAGAGTGATCATCATGAGCGAATGTTTGCCCATCATGCTCCCCGGGCATCACTTGGCAATTCAAAATCAGACTCTGACGGGGGCACATTGTCACACCTGGTCGATGCACCGTCTCCAGCGTCATCATTGTCGCCAGCGTGTTCCATCTCAGTCTGGTCGTTGTCACGGCCAAAGCTCTGGCTCTGACTGTCAAGGACATGGGCTCCAGGGCCGACAAGGACATCCGAAGATTGTGAACCAGAGTCATTGTCATTGTCACCTACATGATGCTGTAGCCGGCGCAAAGCAGGGTGTGGCTCTGGCTCGTCGCCAGCCTTTGCCTCCATCATGGACCGAAGTATCAGCGCCAGCCAGTTTGGGCTGTCTGACCACTGCAGGAATCCTAAGGTCCTAATAACAGTCCTGAATACCAAATGGGCCACAAAGCTACGGGATACGTTTTTCCAATCTTGCGGCTACGGTACGACCCCACAGCCCTAACTTAAAATCGAACCAAGAAACGTTTGCAAAGCACCGGTCTTTGCACAGCGAGCAACCACGCCACTGTCTATGCTGTCGCCACAAAAATTCGAGACCCTCTTCGGCTTCCATGAAGACCACACGAAACATTTGCCAGGGCCAACTCTGTTGCGGCATAACCACCCTTCGGAAGGTGTCAACCATAGACTGAAGGATGAGGGGAGCGCACTCCACATATGACACCCCGAAGAACGGACACCACTTCGAGGAGTCTGGAGGCTGCAACAGGAGGTCGAAAAAATCTTGAACTGCGCGCCGTCCCTCTACACCTGTGAGCACCTTGTAGTTCATTTCAATCAGCTCCTCCACATGGAAGGGGCACTTGCTACCCTCCAACCGCTCCAATCCAAGCAAATCTTACCGAACTCGAACGCAGATAGATTCCACCAATGAAAGGTGATTCATAAACCTTGTGAGTGGCTGTGCAACGACTGAAGTTTGCCCAACCATCTCCTCGATAGTCGGTCGATACGTCGATCCGTGAAACAGAACATCATAATCTCTTCACTTTACAACATCAATCATCTAAATCTATTACAAAAGGTTAAGGGCAAGTCGACAACTACAAGGGCAAAGGCGAAGGGGCCAATGCATTTGGAGCGTTGAGGAAAACGTGGACCTTGTTCATTCTGACTTGCTGTTTCTTCCCAGGAGCGGCATCAGGACAATCCTCATCCATGAGCTTGATTTGATCGTCCCCAAGCTCTTCATCGTGGCCCTTGTCCATGCAGCAACTCCAAAGGGTCGGCAATATAGAATGGATATTCAGGCCGTGAATCACATAGGCAAGGGCGCGTCGATGTGCTTCCACCTGTACAGTAGAGGCGTCTCAAATATATTCCCGAAGGCAACCTCGAGCGCCTGCCGCATTTTGAACTGGAAGTCCTCTTTTGTCTTGCAACAATTTGGCTTGCAGAAGTGTAGCAAAGAACCATTGTTCAAAGGGCAGCCCCAATCATTGTTGAGCATGCTCAAAATCAACTCTTGCCCGTCCGAGTTCTGCAAATCGCTGCTGCAAAGATTCAGAACAGCTCTGTTCTGATCAACCTTTGCCGACAATGGTACTTCCACCACTTCCATCCTCACAGCTTGTCGGGCCAATGCATCCAAGCTATTGGCCAAGCGGGAACGAAAGAGAGTCGTTTTAGATGCGTGGGCCATTCTGACAAGGTTGGTGGCTAAGCCCTCTGCGGCAAGAATAATGGGTTTCTTGGCTGAACAACCTTGGTGGTGCGTGCAAAACGAGAAGGCCTGGCAAGATATCGAGCCATCGGTACCTCTTGTCTGGAAACGGGACTGCTCCATCCCTGCCACGCTGAGGTTGGCTGTGAGCGAATCAGTGCAAGTCACATACATCTTGATCTTGGCACGGCCAAGCATCTCCCGAGCTTCATCTCTGCAAACATGTTCCCCACGCACTTGTGAAAGCATTGACCATTTTCCGACCCGATGCAGCAAGGTTCCAGCATTAGCCTTGGGCAAGACTTGCGCGGGCGCATGAAGCTGCACAATGTCTAGGTCTCTGTCTTTCCTGATGACAAGACATTCAATCAATCCCAGCACTTGGCACACCTTTCTTTTGCCTTGCTTGCCAGAATTCGAGCTGGTTTTCTTGGCCTGACACAAGTGCGGGTCACTGCCATCATCCACAAGGTCTTCTGGATGAAACGCTGCTTCGATTGTAGCCTGCTGCTGCGGAGCCACCCAGGCATTCGTGTCGTCAACAATTCTAATGCCCACGATGTGCTTCACACAAACAGACTGCAAAAGGGAGACTAGCCCTGCGTATTGGGCCTCAACGTGGGACACTGCCCCGACCTGCTTGTATCGCTTCAGCTGTGAATCGCTGCGGCCGTAGGATTGGAAACCAGCAACGGTTCCATCAGCTTGGTTGAAATAGCTGTAGGTTTGCCTTGGATTTGGGAGTGGCCGCCACCGGCTACACACTGACTGTGTTCTGACTTTGGTACTTGATGAATCGGAATAAAATGCGATTCATTACATTCAGATTCAGTTCAGTTATCGAGTTATCGGCTATCGACTATCGAAGTTATCGGCCAAAACACGTCCTTTGGGTCGCAGCGCTGTTTCTTCCGCAAGCCCACCTGCTAAAAGCGACACGGGCAATGTTGTGGTTCAAGGAGCTGGCCAGGCTCTGAATGCTAGCGGCTTCGCGCACCTGCTTTGCAGCTAGACCGTTCGAGACTGAGACGCCATGCTTCTTGCCACGCGAATAGTTCTTGCCAAGCTGAATGGCAGCTGGAATGACATCAGTCTGCCCCTAATTCCCCTCATCCTACCGGCGCGCAGTGCAATAAGACTTGAAGCTCCTCTCTTCTATCTATCTATCTATCTATCTACCTAATCTACTCTATTCACGGTTTGAAAGTTGGTTGAATCATAGAAACATAACATAACATAACTTCACAAACTGTTTTGAAACATGTGTTATCACAAAGTCACCGGCAAAGAAAGAAACGAAGGTGGTGTCCTCCGTGCCGTCATGAAGTCCAGGTCCAGGCCCACCTTCCACATTGCTGGACACTGGCACAGTATCAGGCTGCACGGCCCTCCTGTTCCGCCGCCTGCCCCTCGAATCACTCGCGTAAATGGCGCGCATGCCACGAAAATGATCCACCCCCTGCAACGGCTCAGAACATTGGTTTGAGCACAGCTAACAGCCTCCGGTAAGGCGCCAATGACTTGCCAATGGTTCGACATGAAAAAACGCCGATAACTTATCTATCATAAACTTGAGCTCACTCACTTCGGTCGACAACTTTCGGGCGGTAGCCAGCCTGGTAAACCGCACTGGCAGGGGTGGAGGAAGCGCGCTTTGCTGCTCCAGAAACGTTCTCCAAGATCACCAGCCTGCCACTCAAGCCAGCAACAACGCGCATGGCAATCTACTCGCTCGTGAAACATCGTGGTCTCTTAGTGGGTTCTTTTCGGTCTTGCTTTTTTTGTCCTCTAGTCCATAGTCTCCAAGTGTTCAGTGTCAAGAACTAAATCCAAGCAGCCGTGGACGATATTGTCTAACGTACCGACTGGATTCAAGGAATGGTAAAGCTTTTTTTGCCTTGGTGTCAACTTCAGATTTCGATCCCTCTCTCAGCCCGTCCCTCAGCAACGTGTCCAGAAACACATATCAAAACGCATTTCTCATCAATCATAGTTTGAGTTTCAAGCTGCAACGGCCTCCGACTTGGATTGAAACAGCAGTTTACACGCAAAGCCAGCAATGAATATGTCTTGTTGAGCTTCGTCACCGTCCACGATATTCCCCTGCCCAGGAACTACCTAAGCCTATAGCCGATGCCGCCTTATGCCTATGATTCGATTCTCTAAAAGTTCCAAACATTGAAACTCAATGACCAGCTCAACTCACAGGGAACCTTTGGTAGTGAAGGCGGATCGCAGTGGCCGTTGTGCACGGCGCAGAACCCACCCAGCCTACAATGGCGCTGCAAACCTACGACGCTAGATCACTAGGTGAACTAAGTACAACAAAACCAGCCCCAACCTGCTTGAGGTCATGTTCTCAAAGCAGTGGGTCACAGCATTGTTCTGCAGGAACCACTGTCGGGTCGGCAACTCGGCGCCGCACAGACCCTAGTGATCCCTAATGTCTTTTTTAATCTTTGTCACTGTCTCTGATTCTCTCTCTGTCTCTCTCCGTTTCTAACTCACAACTCCCCGACTACAAGCTACTTTCACAAAATGCTGCCAAAAGCGCGTGGGATTCAGATGACACAACCTCTACCACATTCTGAGCACCCACCAATTGCGTCAATGCGTGGGACGGAGCCCCCGTCCCTGAACAGGCTGTGGCTAGAACCTCGGTCCACTCCATTGCCGCTGCAAAAAGGATATGATATCGATATCGCCGTGAGTGAGAAAAAACATATTGAAAGACTTGTGAACCATTCTGCTTGCAAAGAGCTAAAGGCCTCGAAAGTCTGACTTGAAACGCGTTCCTCTGAATGCCAGAGGCTGTGCAGAACGGTTCCACCCAGTGCACGAAAAGTGGTTTTCGAGTGGCTGCTACCCTTACCTGACTCGGGGAACGTGATCGGTCACTGCCCCTTGACTTCCTTAAGAGGGCTTGGACGCATGATGATTAATGATGAGTTCTGAATTATGAAAACTCAAGCTGAGCATCGCTACTACAAGCTACTAGGGGCTCCTGACTACTAGGAGCAAGGAGGCTACTGGGAGGCTCCTGGCATCGCTACTTTCTTGCTACTACAAGCTACTAGGGGCTCCTGGCCCTACTACTAGGAGCAAGTACGCTACTAGTGGCTCCTGGCATTGGTACTAGGAGCAGTGCTGTCAGTATCCGTGTTTGCAAAAAACACATTTCAATTGAGGCATTCTCGAGTCATCATCACGGTACAGTGACACCAATGACAGCGACATGGGCGGTCAACGGCAGTCCCAAACCCTGCTGTCCTGTCCTGTCTGCATCCTTCTATCCGCTTCTACTGTCAAACGCCTTTCAAAAAGCAGTGCTTTGGTTCGCTACACATGGTTTTGGCACATGCCACAGCCCTGCCCCCCGTGAGGCATGAGATGAGCCTGAACTGCACACAGCCTGCTCAAACTGGTGCACATCTAAAACTCGCTAATGTAATGTTGGTATTCCACCATAGCACTTCATGTGCAAAGAGACAACTTCACAAAACACATGAGAAAAATGCAGGCTTCACTTGAAACTGCTTCGCTTAGCTGCTTTTGTTTGACTGACCCGGTGCGTAACACCAAATTTGTATGCCCTGGACCCTAACGTTACCCAATTATGTTTCCAAGTTGATCAAGCCGTGGCCCAAAAATTGCAACGCCTGGCACTCAACGTGACCCTAACATCTCCATTCGTGACCCAGTGTTGTTTCCAAGTTGATCAATTCCAAGTTGATCAAAACGTGACCCAAAAGTATAGCCCCTGGACCCTCCGTGCACAACGAATCTGGCCCGCGACCCTGCAGCAAGAGCGATTGACTTAACATTTGACCCAAATGTTTGACTCACACAACTCTGTCATTTTCGCAGATTCTTGCTTACTCCGATCTTACGTGACCCAGTTTTGTTGCCTAGGCAGCCTATACGTGACCTTGTTTTCTATATTACGCGATCTGTTTTCTATATTACGTGACCTGTTTTCTATATTACGTGACTATGTTTCCTATACATCAGGTACCTGGACATGGGTTTCACGTGTTAAGCATTAGTTGGGCTGTTCAACATATATACAGCTGGGAATGGCACACCGCATGGTGCACCAAGTGGTGCAATCCTTTCACAAGTTCCCTGCCCCCCAGTTCCCTGCCCCAGTTCCCTGTCCCCAGTTCCCTGTTCCCCTCCGTAGCCTTTGGCTCAAGCTTTTTCGGTTCAAGCTCATCGAAGGTGATGAGCAGGTGGTTCAAGAGTTTCTCTCAAAGCGGACTCGAGGACGCAATCTTTTTTTGGGCAAGCCAGATCTACCCATTAATCATGTGCATGTTTACTTCCCTGTCCAAGTGGTTCGCAAACTCGTGGAGCTGTCGTGCCCTGCGACTTGAAGATTTTACCCCGGGTGAAGGGAAAAGGTACAAACACAACAATGCACAAAATGAGACCAACAACCCTTATATCGTTGTTCGAGCCTATGAAGGGCAGTTTGCCACAAGTGAACACCCAGCAGTCCCGCCTACTCCTTACCTAGCGAAGGCCTATGAGCAAGGCATCCTTGAAGCTTTGGTCAGATGGTCTCCTTTGCATCATCCTACAAATGCGGCTTTCGATTGGAGGTGCCAGCATGGTATAATGTGGATGAAGGGGTTGCCCAAGCAGCGGGAGACCAAGGAGGGAGAGGCTGACGATGACACCTACCTCGTCCCAGTGGCCTTTTACATAGGGCGGCGCAAACCTACTCCAAGCGAAGTGTAGGTAACAAATATGAGCTTATCTCTAGGTGGCTCTTAACAGGGCTTGCAATTCAAATCGCGGAAAAATTGGAATTTTTTTACTCTCGAGGAATAGAACCTGTACGGTCACCGACTTTAATCTGCTCAGAAATTACTTCCTGCAGGGCTACCCATCTGAGGAGAAAGACAAGAAGAAGAAGCCGTATTCGCTCCCCCATACCCACTCACTTCATGCTAGCACGTTTGAAACAGCGGTAGCAAGGATCAGCTACAAACGGTATCTCCAGAAGACCACCGACTTTGAAACAGCTAGAGTGCAACCAGGGTACTATGCCACGATCAATCAAGCAAATCCCATCCACGCTACTCCCAAGATGGAGCAAATTGAACCCCGTGACTCAGTCACGGAGCAGGGCGCGGAGCAGGGCTCGGAGACAATTGTGCACTCTGAAGTGCGCACTAAGCCCGCACATGCTAGTCATCACCGCGCCCTCAGTGAAACCAAAAGGATTTGACTGTCCGTTAAGGTTATGACCCCTATGCTAGGAACCTCTCGGTTGGTGTTGAGCAAGTCAGCAAGGCTCTCGCGACAGGCAGCATCCCTAGATGCTGTCCTGAGCAAGGTATCGAGGTTAGCCGGCAGTTGGCCTTACCGGTCATGCATCACATGGGTGCCCACCCCTGGCAACAGTACCCAGGAGCCCATTGCAGCATGTGAGTGGTAGGCGACCAACTAGTTCCCCATTGCAGTTGGCTCAAACCAGCTAGATTAGATGGTCGGATGCTAATTGCCTGCTAACTCCCTGCTAATTGCCTGTTGCGGGCCAATTGTCCCCCTGTCATCCACATGGACAACACTGCGCTATGGGAGAGCTGTGAAGACAACGAGTTTGCTGGCAACTGCTCTTACACTCTCCTGCTCACCACCATGGCTGGAACTGGCATACAAATCGTAGTGCCTGTGAGCATACATCATAGGTGGGACATGCTGGAGGATTACTTGGTAGAAAATCTGCCTGCAGTCAATCACTTGGATACTTTCGGGTGTGAGCTCATCCTCCTCGACGCAGACACACACCAGGCTTTGAGTGACCCAATCCAAGAAACCCTGTGGGTTAACAGTCATTTCCACCTAGTTGTTCAAGAGTGTTTCCAGAGGTATGACTGCAAGGAACTAATTCGAGGGGAAGAGTATGAGGACTACCCCAAAGCAATCAGGGTCCCTGCCAATGCCGCTGGAATACTTCCGGCCAAAGCTTTCTCCTCTGTCGCGCACCTTCGCCATGTCAAAGTTGACCCTGGACTTCACACGATTGACCGAGAAGCCTGGCGATATTGCCATTCACTGCAAATTGTCAAGCTCCCTTACACTGTTGTGGCTGTGGAATATGCTGCTTTCCAAGGGTGTTTTGCGCTGGTAATAGTTGAAATGCCCGGCTGCGTTGCCTTTGGTGTACGACTCTTCTCTGAGTGTTCTGCACTGGAAAAAGTTGGCATCCTTACCGAAGGCGCATGCAAGCTTGCCGAGGGAGCAGTAATAGGGCCGTATGCCTTTGAAAGCTGTGGTAAGCTTGAGCAGATTTCCCTACCTGGTGTCAAAGCGCTGTCCGATACCATGCCTATGCTGCATCCCCCTGCAGGGATTCCGCAGGGCTGCTTTCATACGTCTGGTATCCGAAGTGTTATGCTAGGGGGGGATGTAGTCTTCATTGGTTATAGGGCATATGAAAAACTGCAAACAGCTCGCCGTGGTTGACGTCTCTCACGCGAATATTACCATCCTGCACATGCATACCTTCTCGCACTGTTTACAGCTGGAAAGGGTGAGTTTGCCACCCTGCCTACGAGAAATCCGAGCTGAGGCCTTTGTTGGATGTAAGCTTTTAGGTAGTCTTGCCCTCCCAGAACACCTTCGCTACATAGGACACAGGGCCTTTGGCGAATGCAGTGAGCTATCCTGCCTGCACTACTGCAGACTAAAACGGGTTACTTGGAGGCGCCCGTATGCTGCCTATAATGCCTTCGAAGCGTGTTACAAGCTTGCTACCCCTTGGTGGCTCCACTACCTACCCCCAAATGGAACGGATTGGATGGTGCCACCTAGCCACCATACTTGACAACAGCACCCCCTCAACAGCTGTATCTTCTCCTTCTTCTTCTTGTTCGTTCTTCCTTCTTCTGGTCTTGCGTCTTCTTTTTTCTGCTCTTTGTTTGTTTCTTATTTTTCCTGCTTGCTTATCCTGTTATGAAGAATCCTAGCGCCAATCTAGCGTTGCCTTACTGTATCACCATAGTCCGCCAGTCAGCTGCTTATTTTTCCTGCTTGCTTGTCTTCTTGTTGTGCATTATTCTTCTTCTTCTCCTTCTTTGCCTTCTTGTTTGTTCTTCGTTTTTCTGGTCTTGTATCTTCTTTTTTCCTTCTCTCTGCTCTCTGCTTGTTTCTTCTTTTTCCTGCTTGCTTATCCTGATATGAAGAAACCTAGCGCCAATCTAGCGCTGCCTTGCTGTGTCACCATAGTCTGCCGGGGGGCCCGCTTCTAAACGAAGATCTTGCACTTCTATTAGTTTCTTATAAATTAATTCTTACTTATCACTTGCTATTTAATGCCTAGACCACATTCATCAACAGAACCTCAGATTCAGACCTCAGATTCTGTGATTCCCTGAGCAGCTCAGCCAACTGATTTAGTAAATGTGTTGTCAAGTTGTCTTTTCTTTTCTTCTTTGCGCCTTCTCTTTCCTATTCCTTCTCTTATGTGTCATTATGTTTTTGGATTCTCATTTCATGGAGACAGGAGATATGGAGAATATGCATTTAGCCTTATTACAATCAACTGAACCTGGTCCATATGAATTTATAGAGAGGTGTATGTAACCTACAAAAGTTTGACGCCTGGTTTATGCTTTATACACCTGGATATCGTGAACCTGGGTTCTGATTTCATGTAGAATGTACAATGTAGTTTGATGTTAATCAGCTGAAACTGGTCCACATTCCCACCTTGTGTTCCGCCATGGCGTTTGCGACCCTAAGTTTAGTACTTCACTAAGATTCCACTGCCTTCATTTCATGAGCATTGTTCATCTTGCTTGATTCCCGTTCTTATTGAACTTTTTTGACTCAATGTGTAAAAATGAATTTCACAGACTTACACCAAACACCTGACTTTTTTAAAAGAAACCCTAGTGGCACCCAGGCGTCTGAACACCCTAAAACAGTAATATTTAATTTCATTCGCGAAATTTGTCATACTTTTCCCCCTTCTTGCTTAACCCTGTCAAAGGCACGCCAAACTTTATCCACTTCTTTTCCACGAATTTTCAATATATATTCCTCCCGTTTTCTTTTCAAGTTTCTCTCAGGAAAGCCGGTTCAAAATCAAGCACTTACCTTTTCTCACCATGCATGGTTGGATTCGTGGCTGTGCTTGGGCGTATACATTGCCCGAGTGAAACGTATCTTGAACAGCTTCTTGGTTCACTGTTTCTTCACCCGCTGTGTGCACAACCTGCTGGACAAGAGTGTCAACGCAGTGTCAAGTCTCATATCTTGTGAGTGATGCACGGTCATGCCACAGCGACATCCACTCTACATTTACTCCAAAGATGGAATTCGGTGAAACTATTGGGAACCCTTGCTCTCAATTGGCGTCACCTCAGCCACAGAAGGGCAAGACAAGTGGAACGCTAGGCGTAACGCTGCTGAGAAAAGCACTCACGCTGATGGCAATGTGAAGCCATAGCAATCTGTCCTTAAAACTGGAGGGAAAAACACAAACTTGAAGTGTGGTCAAAACAGCTGGTTCTCGACCCAAACTCAGAGGCGGCAAAAAAAACAAAAAATACATCATAAGGTCGTAACATTGACATCAGTTTGAAGCCCTGCATGGTTAAAAGCTGCTCAAAACAAAACACCAAGTGCCGGGCTTAGACGTGCCGCGATTGACAGATGCTTCTTCATCTTCCCTAATCCAACTTCCATCCTGCAAATCCGCGATGAGCAAACTGGCAAACCACAATGCTGCAAAGGCAAGTTGAGACGGTGGTGTGCAAGGGGTTGGGTGAGGTGTTGTGAAAGAAAACAGTTGGACAAATTCACCTGACCAGCGATTGACAAAAGAGTGAAAAGTGAAAAGGTAGCAAAGACATTGCAACGCAAAGCGCTGAGCCGAGTGAACAAAAGCTGAACAATTGAAATACAACTAGCAAACGAGTTGGTGGCATAAACAGCGGCTCGTCCTGTTGGCTAAAAACATCAATTTCATCTGCGTCACACTTCACTTTGTTCGGCTTCTCTGCCTTAATTGCCTCACGGCAAAACGACAATAACCACCATGCACTTGCACACGCGTTGAAGAAAACACGTTCTGGCTTGCATCGCTGCCTGCTTTGTTTGTCTTCTTCATTCAACGTTCACCAAGGCACAGCATCAAGTTTGATTGAACAACAACAAGCTCTGAGCTCTGGACTTTCTTAAGGTCATCCACCTTTGAAATGAATCAAACTGAGCCAAGGGCTTTGTATAGCAACGTGATGACGACTTGAACGAAGCATGCGACGAAAGCATGGGGACGAACCAGCAAGAAGGGCACAGCAAAGCTAAGGTCACTGCGTCTGCCAGCTCTCCGGTGACTTTGAACGGGTTGCCAATCTGCTCGAATGTATCACCGTCCTGCAATTGCAACAGGGGGTGGGCGACAGCAAATGGCTGCGCCTTTCGAAAAGCAAAGTGCAAAAGAACAATGCGCATGACAAGGAATGCAATGCATTACGCAAGAATTTTGACCTTGGGATGCGAAAATGGCTGAGGGAAATTTCTTCATGAAGTTTCAGCTGAACAAACCACTTCTGTTCTTAACCTACCACTAGTCAAAGGCTCGAAAAGAAACAAAGGCATAAACTGTTGCATTGACTTTTGCAAATTACAAGCCTTTGATGCTTGAGTGGGAGAACTGATGGAGCACAACCCTATCTTTATTCACACGACCAATCAACACCGGTTTTCGCACAGGAACTTTGCAGAGGAAGAAACAAAACAAACATAGGGATGTAAAAACAAGGTTGCTTGTTCAACGGATGCAACTTTCAACTGTCAACGTCTGTTGAGGTGTGACTTTTCGTGTTTTTCGTCAAAAAGTTCTTCCTACACCTGTCAAAAGGGCATAGCAAAGGAACAAGGGCATGGCAGAAAACATACAAAGTCTTAGTCTAAATCCTCTCTATCAAATTGCGGAAGATGTTGAGAAAATATCATTCAACAAATCCTGAGGAATAAATACGCTACTGCTTGCTTTTTGTGCATAAAACATTTACTTCCCTCAAAAGAACATGGCAAAGGAACAAGCAAAGGGCAAAGAAACAATATGTTGCGTCTAAGTCCTTTCGAAGTTGAATATGACAACATCCAAATAAACAACCATGCAATCGCCCCAACCGTGCTGAAACAAACCGTGACAAGGCAAAGGATGCCAGAAAGAAGACTGAACAAGCCACTTGTATTTTAGCCTAACACTAGTCAACGGAACTTCCTAAAGGAACAAAGGCGCAAACTGTGGCAGTGGCTCTTGCAAATAACAATGCCTTTGACGCTTGAGTGGGAGAATGATGGAAAACAACCCTACCTTATCAACATGACCAATCCACACCGGTTTTAGCACACGAACCGTGCAAAGCAACACATAAAAGGAACATATAAAAATGACAAGGCTGCTTGTTCAACGCTTGCTGTACCACTCAAAAGGTGAGATGTTGAGGTGGGAACCGTCAAATGGACATGGCAAAGGAACAAGGGCATGGCAAAACATCATACAAAGTCTTAGTCTAAATCCTCTCTGTCAAATTGAGAAAATTATTGAAACATATCTTTTAACAAATCCTGATGAATGAAAAACCATGTTATCTACCCGCTAAAAAGTCCTGAGCCCTCCGTGCATTATCTTGCACAGTGGACTTACCCTTAATCACGCTTTTTAGTTTGGGGCATGGCTTTTCGTCAATCAAAGTTATTCCTACACCTGACAAAAGGGCACGGCAAAGGAACAAGGGAATGGCAGTAAATCATACAAAGTCTTTAGTCTAAATCCTCTCTACCAATCGCAGGAAGATGATTGGGTGGAAAGTTGCATTAACACCATCGACAGATGTTACCTTCTGCTTTAAAGCTTTAGGAGTGGAAAAGAACATCTGGCATCAGAAAAAATGAACCAACTAACTCTGAAAGTCATGGAATGTCGGCAAAGGTGGAACTATTCACAGAAAAACAACGAACACAAATGTCTGCCAAGGGCCTTCGTCCAAACATAAACATATGCAACTCTCTCAACATGCAGTCCTCTTGAAGCTGTCTGACCCAAACGGTTTCCTGAACACGGCACCGGTGCAGGTAGGAGACTCAAAACCCTTCAAAGCTTGCCCAGCCTGCTTGCTTCGAAGTGGCGCGGACGGCTTTCGACCAAATTGGATGAACAACTCCGTAGAGCGAGGTCTCCAACGTCCGATCTTATCAGGAATTTCAGAGTCTGCCAGAATTTGATTTGTGTCTTGCTGTCCATTCAATAATCTCTGTATTAGCTGCACCGTTTCACTTTCAGTCCATCTGTAGGCTCCATATGATTTGTCTTGTAGTTCTGCCATGTAGGTTGTGTCACCATTGAGTTCCGCGATGGACTCTGCAGCTTCCTTCCCCTGCATGGTGAAGACTACTTGGTGTCCATATCTACTTGCCCCTCGTGCCAGTGCTTTTAGCATGTCCTTCTCTCTGTCGCTGCTGACGCCTCCGTCCAACACATTGTCAAAAATTAGATGGAGACGGACCTTCCTCTCATGCATGGCGATAAAGAAGGATGTGGCGATGTCAGCTGCTGAGCTGACTTCGGATAGCCGGAAAAACGTTTTCAGACTCTCATCCAAATCATTCTGCAACACCACGAAGAAATCTGAGGTTTTTGCTCTAGCGACTTCAATGGCTGCGAGCAAGACAGCAACCGACTTGCCAGTGCCAGCCTCAGCGTAGATGGCTGACATGCCTGGACTCTTGTCGCAGAACACCGCGACCATGAGCTGTTCAAGGTAGGTGCATCTCACTGGTTCACTTGGCAATTGCGCTCTTTGGACACTTGATATCAGAACGTTGCTGCCACCTTGAACGGCTTTTTCCATCCCCTGAATGAGGTGTGATGTGTGCTCGGTAATATTGTCACCAGTCTTGTAAACAGCTGCACCTTTCCGCGAACCTGTCCAGTTTTGCCAAGCCTTGAGAGCAGTGTTCAACGAGTTGAAAAAATCTGTGACTTGTTTAAGATTACCAAGCGCGGCGTATGCAGCTTGGACTGTTGGGTTGCGCATAGCATCTCCTGCTGCTGCTGCCAGATCGTCAACAAAACTGGCACGCGCTGAAGATACAGGTGCCTTTGGTGCCCTCGGCACACTGAAGTTTGCGGGATGCTTGCTCACTTGATATGCAATCAGGATTACCATTGCCGCCGGCACTCTTTTCCGCATGCTTCCCATGTTTCTGAACAGTTTGCGGGTATTTCGGGTATTGTGGTGTTCGACAAGCATATGACAGGCTGTCATAGAAGCTGAACCAATGGAGATAACCACCTTTAAATAAAACACCTATGATGTCTACCCTTGACCTAGCAAAATTGCTGACCGCTTTGTCTGCTTGGAAATTTGGGCGAGACTTCAACGAAGTGACAAGTCCAATTGCTTTAGCTGCAAGCCATTTGGCAAAGGAACACCAGTGTTTCAAAGTCAAACATGTCAGGATGTGTGCATATGAAAAACGGCCGTGTTTTTTAAACATCTCCTCACAAAGATTGCACAAACATCATAGCTCTTGATAACTGTATGACATTATGGCATGTTCAACATAGCGGCTTGTGGAAATTGTGTCTTTGCATGCTGCTTTTAGTGCACTGTATTCTCTGCATGCTTCATCCGCCTGGCTTCAAAGCATCCAGTCCTATATACACTAGAACAGTGTCGCGGTGCTGGTCGTACACGCTACTGCAAATCTACCGAAAACCAAAACATCGAATGCAAACCTTTGCCACCAATTCAAGAAAAGACATCTCAACACATAGACAAAAGCAAGACTAACACTAAACAGGGGAACATACACGAGCCATCAAAAACATCCTTCCGCCAAGAATGAATCTGGCATTTTTCATCCTAGTTTTGCTTTGTCGAGGCTTGTGCGCCGATTTTGGGAAAATCAGCCACCGACTTTGACGAAATCGGTCACCGATTTTGCAGAAATGCTGTCACCGATTTTTGGGAAATCAGCCACCGACTTTGGGGAAACCCGTCGCCGATTTTCGGGAAATCCGTCACCGATTTTGGGAAAAATCTGCCACCGACTTTGGGAAAATCCGTCACAGACTTTGGGAAAATCTGCCACAGACTTTGGGAAAATCAGCCACCGACTTTGGGAAGCTCCGTTTTTGGGAAAAACATTGTCATTTTTGGGAAAAACATGTTCCGTTTTTGAGAAAAACAGTGTCCGTTTTTGGGAAAAACAGTGTCCGCTTTTGGGAAAAAAAAGTGTCCGTTTTTGGGAACAACAGGCTCCGTTTTTGGAAAAAACATGCTCCGCTTTTGGGAAGAACAGGCTCCGTTTGCTCCGTTTTTGGGAAAAAAACGGCTCGATTTCGGGGGAAATTGGTTTGGTTTTTGGATTGGCTTGGGACAAAGCTCAAGTCTCACAAGTTTGGGTTTGGATTTTCGAGGTTTAGGACTGGGTGTCTCCAAAGCAAGTCAACCGGTAGCAAGTTGGAAGGGTAAAATGTTTAAACCTATAAACTTTGATGTTGAACCTGTTTTGTGTTAGGTACTTCAATGAGATGCCACAAGCACAAGCTGATATACATAGTTCCTATTGAGGATGAAAATACTTAAACAAATATTAAGATATATAGGTAATTATATATATACCATATGTCTTGTTACTTTGTAAGTAGTGGAGTTGAAATCCCGATGACGAATGAAACCTTTGCCTTTCTTTGGAACGGTTTTGGAAACAAAGAACTCAATGACAGCGAAACATCTTCATCGGAAGAAAACTACAAAGCAAACTCATCCGTTAATAAGAACACCAATGCTGAATGGAGAAAGCAGGACGACGGATACTACAACAGAAACCGAACGACGAAAAGTACTGACAAAGATATTACAAAGAGAAAACGAAACAACCATGCGTATGTGAGATTTGCGGCTGTGCCATGAACTGTAAATCAAACTTGGCAAAGCACAAGAAAACGAAGAAGTGCCAGAGGTTCTTGGTTTGAGTTCACTATGATTTTATGATGCGTCAGAATATCATAAAATTATAATCTAAGTATTTTTAATGACAAGATTGGAAAAAGAAAAGGTATTGGAAAGAATATACTACGACGTGGAGGACGGTTTCGGTTCGGTGAGGGACTTGAACGAAAAGGCCAGGAAAGTCGATGCAGGCATAACTTTGGATATTGTATCTACATGGATGAGGGCGCAACCCAACAAGCAAACAAGAAACTACAAGAACTACAATTCCTACACAGCACCGTTCCCGAAGTATGAATTTCAGATTGACTTGATGGATGTCACCAGTTTGCTGCGAGACGTAGGTTCTGAAATCAAAGGTCAACTAAGATATGGTTTAGTTTGCATAGATATATTCAGCAAAAAATGTCACATAGTCCCTATCGAGAATAAGGATGGTGATGACGTTTAAAAGCAGTCATGGAGTGTTTCAAGGTATTAGGTCAGCCTTTGTCGATTTACAGCGACGACGAAGGAGCGTTGAACAGCAAGAAGTTGCAAACCCTTTTTAAGGAAGGAGGTATAACGCACGTAATAACAAAGACGCATGCAAATCAGGCAGAAAGGATGATACGCACCGTCAAAAAAATGATTGGGGACAGATTGAGGCATTACAAAACCAAAACATGGGTGGAAGTGCTAAAGCCCTCGTTGAATAGATACAACAACCAAATCCACAGTAGCACCAAAACAACACCAAATAATGCGCACAATCTTGATAACGTAATTCAGGTCAGAACAAATTTGATACTAAAAGAACAGCACAACAGAAAATATCCAAATATAAGTGAAGGAGACTATGTTAAGATATTTGAAAAAGGAAAGGGCAACTATGTATCAAGGAAAGAAACTAGAAGTCAATGGAGTGAAAGAAAGTATAAAGTAATACTAGTTGGCCGGGATATGATGAATAATAGATATTATGAATTGGATGGAATGAGTAAAAAATATAATAGGCATGAATTACTCTTGGTTGATTAGTAGCTGTTTTTCTTTCTTCTGTTTTCGCCTTTCTCTTTTTTTTGCGTCTATTTTATCTTTGTCTCTTTTGTATCTTTCTCCTTGTGTTTGTCTCATTGCTTCTTTGTTTCCTTCTCTATACCTTTAATTCTTGTCATCGTATTTATCTGTTTTTCCCAGTGTTTCTTCTTTCTTGTATTTTGTATTTTGTTCCCACGATGCTGTTTGTCTTTTTCTTTGTATTTTTCAATAATCTCTATTTGAATATTTGGTGTTGTTTTTTCTGGTCGAGGTGACGCTTTCTTGTGGCATCGTAATATTACGTTCTAGTCCTACCAGCAATACATCTGTTTAGACGGCTCTTATCATTTCCAATATATTCACCTTCTCTCTTTTCGAGTTGCTTTCTGTTTCGGCATGGGTATTCTTTTCAATAAGAACTACTCATCAAACGGTTTCATAGAGTTAGCATGGTGTTTTTGGTGATGTCCATTGTTTAAGTTTATATAGATAAGATTTACAATCTCTTCTATGTCTTGCCATTCTTTGACTTAGTTTTTCAGCATTGCTGAATCGATGTAGCAATTATTTTAACCAACATCAACTATCTTATAAACTTGTCCGTTTTCATATCTGTTCACATCTATCTATACACATATGTCTTAAACTGTTTTTTCGTTATGTGGATATTTTGTGGCATAATGTCCAAACGGGAGACTTTCAAAATCATTAAACCAGTAGCGTTTATTATCATAATTACTTAAAGCATATTTGGTCTGATTGATGCTATATATCTGATGGTTCTTACTTCTGATGGTGTTAAAACTGACTTCTTCTTTACAGTTTCTATTCAATGTCTCTTCACAAGTTTTATAACTCAACTGATTACTCACTTTATGCTTTACTACTCCTTTACTCTTTTTATGTTCTTTATCATCACCATATACTTTATAGCAATATGCCTTTGGTTTCAATCCTATAAAGTGAGTAATTATTTTACCGTTCAGTTCATCCTTGAATGTCCCTAATACCTTCTTATTTGCTTTATCATAGTTTGGATGCTCTTGTGGATAATCACTAAAATCCATGTATTCATTAAATTCTTTGAAGTCGTCATATAAGTCATCAGTCTCAACTTTGATTACATAACTATCAGTATCAGTATATACCAACTCAATTTGGTTATCATATTTTGGTTTTAAAACATCATAGTAAAACGGATACATGTGAATTTCAGAAAAATCTAAAATAGACATACCCATATAGATTGGTTTGTTTAGTTCTACTGTGTGTTTATCTTTCTCAACAATTACAAGGTCCTCATTTATAATATGTCGGTGCTTGAATAGTGGTTTATTCACCAGTTTTTTGCAGCGTTCAGGCGTATTGACTAACTCATAAATCACCATGTTTTCTTACATTTTCCATGGTCTTGCCGTATACGCTGTTATTCATTAACTTAAACAAATCTTTTTCAAAATCATTGTTGGCATTCTTTCTCTTTTCAGTGTTGAATTCAATGAATGGTTTTAAGAAATTTGCTTGTTTAAAACTTATTGCCCTATGGACTTTTCTAAGACTTAATCCTTGTTGCAAATAAAACTTCAATGCTGATATATGTGAAACATATTTCTTTTTATCCATTACATTTAGAACTAATTTATTTGTCTTTTCATCACTGGCATCTTTTCCATAATAGTATTTGTGTATATCCTTTTGGACTTGTGAAAGCTTACTCTCATTGATACACATGATTTCAGGTGCTAATGGGTAGTCTTTATGTAAATCATGAAGTTCCTTTGGATAATCTAAATCAACTTCTAATATATATCCTATGTCATCATCATCACTATATTTCATTACTCTCTTTTCATCCCTTCTACCGTAATACCATTTAAAATCGTCATAAGGCAGTTTCTTACACATTGCTAATCCGTAAAGGTTATTAGCATCTAAATAACTTATGTATGATGAAGGTTTGGATTTATCATAATCTTCATTCATGTATTTATTGTTTGCGTCTACTTTCTTAAAGGAGCACTGTGTCATTCCTCCTCTTAATCCATTTTCAATCATCTCATACATTTCTTTTATATGGATTTGTTGAAGTCTAACTCCTGTGATAAAAAGGCATTCCAAGAATAGTTAGGTAAAGTGATATAATATGCTGGGTCGCTTCCTCGTAGAGAATGCAGGCTCAATGCGCACTGAACACTTTCGCTTCATGAGAGGATGCCTCGGACTGAAACACCTCCAGAAAAATGATCTTACGTGGTGTACCTCAACCTTATCACCAGCCAAACGCATTAGAATC